TTGCATCCTGAGAAAGGGAAAATGGAGTTTTTGGGAGCACTGACCTGTTTGAGCTGCTCATCCAGGCGCCAGCCGGGGCGCCCCGCCGAGGCTCCGGGCTGCTTGGCCGAGTCTTTGCCCTGCTCCTCCTTGCCCTGCTGGGCTCCCCGCGGCTGGCACGGGGCTGGCACGGGGCTGGAGCCAGGCCCTGCTCTCTGCTTGCCGTGGCCACCTTTGGGAGCGCGGAAATTCGCCAGGGCAGAGCAGCTCTCCTGGCCGGGCACCTCCAGCTCAGCGCCGTCTTCTTCATCCTCCTCTTCATCCTCCTCCTCCTCCTCCTCCTCCTCCTCCTCAGAGTTCCCGCTGCTCTGCTCCAAGGGCCGGCTGGCCGCGGCGGGGGCTCTGCCCGCGGGGACGGCGGGTGCCATGCCCGGGGGCGCAGCGGGTGCCATGCCCGGGGCGCGCCCGGCGCAGCGGGGCTGCCCGGGGAAGGGCGGCGGCGTCGGGAACGGCACCTGCGGCTCCCGGCGGCGCTCCCGGCAATCCATGGGCACCGCCGGCTGCTGCTGCTGCTGCTGCTGCTGCTGCTGCTGCTGCTTCTGCAGCTGCTCCACCACCGCCTGCAGCTTCATCCCGCCGTGCGCATGGCTGGCGGCCCCGGCGGGAGCCGCGCAGGATCTGCCGGGGACACAAACGGGGCCGAGGCTGAGCGCCCGGGGCTGCGCTCATCTCTTCCCCAGGAAGGGAGGGGATGCGCGGAGCGGAGCCGGGGGTTTTCCTGGGCAGGGGAGCGCCAAACAATCGGCTCGGGGATTGTTCATGGCCTGAAACAATCGGCTTGGGGATTGTTCACGGCCTCAAACAACCGGCTCGGGGATTGTTCACACTCTGAAAAAACCGGCTCGGGGATTGTTCACAGCCTGAAACAACCGGATTGGGGATTGTTCACAGCCTGAAACAACCGGCTCGGGGATTGTTCACAGCCTGAAACAACCGGCTCGGGGATTGTTCACAGCCTGAAACAACCGGATTGGGGATTGTTCACAGCCTGAAACAACCGGCTCGGGGATTGTTCACGGCCTCAAAGAACCAGCTCGGGGATTGTTCATGGCCTCAAACAACTGGCTGGACAGATTATTCACAGCCCCTGACTGTGAGTGAAACAATCGGCCAGGCATATTGTTCACAGCCCTGGGCAGATTGTTCACAGCCCCAGCTGCAGGTGAAACAATCGGCTCAGGGATTGTTCACAGCCTGAAACAATCGGCTCGGGGATTGTTCACAGCCTGAAACAACCGGCTCAGGGATTGTTCATGGCCTCAAACAATCGGCTCGGGGATTGTTCATGGCCTCAAACAACCAGCTCGGGGATTGTTCACGGCCTCAAACAACTGGCTGGACAGATTGTTCACAGCCCCAGCTGCAGGTGAAACAATCGGCTCAGGGATTGTTCACAGCTGCAGGTGAAACAATCGGCTCAGGGATTGTTCACAGCCCTGGGCTGCGGGTGAAACAATCGGCCGGGTGGACTGTTCACAGCCCTGGGCAGATTGTTCACAGC